ATGGACAACGCTGTCCTCCTGCACAACTTGTTGTCCTCGTCGTCACTGCCCAACAACACATCTCCGCACCTGTTGTGGACTAGGAAGCTGGGCAACACAAAAATGTTAAGAGTTTTTGGGTGTATGGTACAGTACCGCCCACACACTGCACGCGCAGGGAGATTTTCGCAACGGGCACAGTGGGGTCTACACCTCGGGCTGGCAAAACATTACGAAGCCTGGCGAATCTTCGACGTCCACACAAAGGAAACAGTAGCAGCACGTGACGTTATCTTCTACGAGCGACTCACCCTCAACCATTACCTGGACAACATCGCACGCCACGTCGACCCCACCGGCGGATTTTCTGGCTCCCGAGCCTTCGTTTCACCCTCCGACGCTACTGACTGGGAAGAAGAAAACGTCGACAACGCCTCAGAAGCTGCTGGACCCCTTCCCTACTGCTCCGTCCCAATCCCCATGGACGAGGAAAATCCTCGCGACAGCAACAATGCCGACGTCTACTACCATTTCGCCGATACTGGTTACGTAACACCCCAACCCGTCAACACCGACATTTCAGAACGATACGGCCCCGGATTCGCACCTGATCCTGAAGCGGGAGACGAAGCAGTCTATCCCGAGGATCCCATGCTGAACCGTCACACACCCAGCGGGCTCCAAGTCCTGGGACTCGTCGCTGCAGTGCACGGGACTTCGACGCCACCTGAAGAGCCTCGCTCTGTCAAGCAGGCTCTGGGGGGGGAACACAAAGAAAAATGGCGCGAAGCCATGGAAAAGGAGTTAAAAGCTCTTTCAGACCGCAACACCTGGAAGATCGTCCCTGCATCACTCGCACAAGACAGACCCATCCTCTCCGGAAAATGGGTATTCCGGATCAAAACCAACTCCGACGGAACCATCGAACGATTTAAAGCTCGATGGGTCGTCCGTGGATTCGACCAAGAGTATGGTCGCGACTTCACTGAAACCTTTGCACCAGTCAGTCGACACACCTCCCTACGCATTCTCCTCGCCATCGCCGCCTCACGTCGCCGCCCACTCCGACAAATTGACGTCGCCAACGCTTTTCTGTACGCCCCAGTCGACGCTGAAATCTTCGTCGAACAGCCCCACGGGTTCGTCGACGACCCTTCCCTCGTCTGCCAATTACTTAAATCACTGTACGGAATTAAGCAGGCACCGCGACTCTGGCAGCAGTACCTGCACGCACGACTCAAACGCATCGGATTCAACCAACTGCCCCATGACCAGGGCATGTATCGCCTCACTCACGACAACGACTACGTCCTGTTAATCGTCTACGTCGACGATCTACTTTACATCGGGTCAACTATCACCATCGTCACCTGGTTCGAGAAGGAACTTCAGACAGATCTCTCCCTCACAGTCTCACCCAACGTCACGCAGTACCTAGGGCTCAACATCCTCGACGAAGACAACGCCATTCGTCTCAGCGCCTCAAAATACGCAAGCACTATCGCCGAACGCTTCTGCATCACACCGACGCACGTCGCAACACCCTACAGTCACCTATCGCCCGACCCAACCGAAGAAACCAACCTACTGCCGTCTGCCGGAATCCAGGAATATCAACAGAAACTGGGGTGCCTACTCTTTGCCGCCGTTACGTGCCGACCGGACTTATCCTACAGCGCCAGCCAGCTAGCGACATACCTCAAGCGCCCAGAAGAACGTCACCTCAAGGAACTCAACCGTGCTCTTCTCTACTTCATCTCGACGCCAACAGTTGGCCTAACGTATCACAAGAGCGCAACGAATGACCTAAAACTACTCGGCTACGTCGACGCTGATCACGCTGCTGATCGTGTCGATCGTCGCTCCCGCACCGGCTACGTCTACCGTCTCGAGCCCGTCGGAACTATCTCCTGGCAATCAAGTAAGCAGGAACTCGTCGCACTATCATCTGCTGAAGCAGAGTATATTGCTCTTTGCACCGCTACCAAGGAAGGTCTCTACCTGCGCGAACTGCTGGAAGAAGCGAAAATTGCGAAAGTACCCAGCTTCTCGCTTTTCTGCGACAACCAGTCCGCGATACGGATCGCGAACAAGAATGGTTTCGCCAACAGGACCAAGCATATCGCACTGCGATACTTCTTCGTGAAAGACGAAATTGAGAAGGGAAAACTCCAGCTGGACTACTGCCCGACCACTGAGATGACAGCAGATTATCTCACCAAGAAGCTGCCAAAGGGGAAATTCGAGTACTGCATGCTGCTCACCGGATTGGGCCACGTCACCGAAGCTGACCACGTCGACACTCCAGAAACGAAGGGGAGTGTTGGGAATATAAATGCATGACTTAGTACGTTTCTGTAGTATCGAACCTCACCCGATACTGAAGCACAACAAAAGGAGTATGAAGTCGAAAAGGCGCGTACCACATCCAACCGCAACTGGAGGTTGCGAGTTGTAACCGCCTGGAGGTTACGTAACAGCAAGCGACGCTTCAGTGAACAGTAACCGCCTCGATAGTCGAAGCGTTACGCGTCTCGATAAAACATAACCGCTTCCTGTAATCTATCCTTTTCTATATATTCCTGTATGCTCTTTGCTTTAATCAATTACTTGTTCTCACATACCAGCACAAGTACATTCACTCAAAGACTTCCGCTGTGCTACTCTAGCACCTATTAGCCTGTTCTCTGCAAAGATCCTAAGGCTGAAATTCTCAGCCCAACACCTGTCACCACAATACCACGTCCCGGCCTCCATTCGTCACACATTGCACAGTTCTTGTCCACCGACTGTCACTCATCCCAACACCCATCCACCAATTGTCAGACACACCACCAGCCATCCACCAATTGCCATGCACTCTACACCCCAGCAGGCATTGGTCACACATTCTATCATACAAGCCTCCCAGCTAATGTCACACACCGGCCAACCAGTCAACCAGTCTCTCAGATTTCACAACCCTGTCATGCGTCCTATGTAAGCTAGTATGTATTGGGTATCGTATACTTTGTACGTGCTCAGTACCGTATGTGAGTGAGTGTGTGCATGTGTGTGAGAATCTTGGTTGGTGCAAGTCTTGCCCATGTAGAGTTGAGCTCCTAGTGAGCATGCTACCACTATGTAATGATCTGAGATGCAGCAAGCTTTGTGTTACAACCTTCTGGCCCATAGCTATCATGATACAGCACTAACCAGACAAGACCACACCTTAGATTATGTACACGCTTATAGAAGATGTATAGACACTCCACATCCCACCAATACAGCTCCTCTCAATAGACTACGTAGTTGTTATGACGATGACCCGTCTGTAGAACCCACTCCCAGTCCATTTTCACATGTCTTGAACACCTTGCATGAGATACGCTTGCTCAGCAGAATACGCCACGTAGGGTTCAAAGCTGAGCTTTCTACCTCGGCTGAAGCCCCTGAACGGCTCAGATTCAGGTCCCCACCATGACAGCTCCGCGGAGAGGAGGGAGCAAGTCGATCGTCCATGTGCATACATAGCATGCTCACTCCCTGTGCGTCCGCCATAGTCTGCTTCTTCGTCTGGTAAAAGCGACTCGTGAGTCGTGACGATAAGTCTCTTTTCAGTATATACAATGGAACTGTCGAGAAACAGGAACCTTGGTCTCCGGATAATCGTGAGTTCAGAAGGGTGCCTGGAGAGTGGCTTCGAGTCGACTTTCGCAAACGGTTTCCGCAGTGACTCTTTTAGACAACGCTTGACAAACACCGAACCAGTATGGAGTTCTTGACAACACGAAAAGTAGGAACAAGCCACTGACACTTGGAGGGCCCAAGAGCCATCAACGGAAACAATCGAAGGACGAATGCTGGTGAGAATGACCTCGATAAAGCCGTTTGGCTGCACCCTAGATTCTGCCGCTTTGAAAAGTCTAGGTGCTCTGGAGCGGAGATACCCTTCGACCAACCAATCAAAACAAGCCTCAAAGGCAAAATCAAGAAAAGCGTTACCAAAGAGAAACGTTTAGCTCGATGAAAGAGAACATTTCAGTTCCGCAACAGAGATTCCGAGAGAGAGTAGCCACCAAATTGGCTGGAGCCTCAGAGATTCCCGGAAGGCTGCGCAGGCCGCGCGGGACGCGCCGCACGCGCAACGTTTTCCCTGAAATGTAGGGCACCGCTCACGACCATTGGGTGGAATTGAAAAGCCACAAGCATCCTTTCCACGCGTCATACGCGATTGGAGTGGACCCTCGACCCCAGCCAACGGACAAGTGAAAGTGCGGACTAATCAGTTACGGCTGTGGATGAATACACCGCTATGGTTTAGTTGCATCCTTCAAGAAAAATTAAGTGAGAACAACAGGAGTGTAACACAGCCCATACATGGCAATTTGAAGCTATGTACGATTTCACATAACACGGATGAAAATCTGCATATTGTGATGTGACAAACTCTAAGCAGCTGCAGTAGATGCTAAACTCGCATTTACTATATACAGTAATATCACATCTGTCTCCATAAAACCACCACCCTCCATTCTCCCCGCACGAAACTACAGTACCAGTACATCTGTGTCAACATCCTATGCTGTGACAAGAAGGGAGGAGAAGAAAGAAAAGCAAGGAAGACTTCCAATATCACGCCCACACCCCATACTACGCCTCAACACTTGCCCGTACCAGTACATGGCATCATGGCATGTCGTCAGATGAGCCATCGAAGTGATAACCATCATGTATGACACATCATGTGAGCCATGCATGTCATATGTGCGCACTATGCACATGTCTGCCACGCACCTAATGTATGCCATGCTTGTCATGCTAAATCATGTGTGTCATGCATGCAACGTGTTCCATTACCACCATGCATGTTGTGCATGTCGTGGTTATGGCCATGGTCATGGCCACGTAGTGAATGCTCATGCATGTCATGTTCATGGTCATGGCCATCCAACGAGTGCCCATGCAAAGAATCCCTGTGCATGTCATGGTCATGGAATGGAAATTCATGAGAGGGCGAAGATGAGTGGTCATGGTAGAGGTCAGACAGGCTGAAGCGATGCTCTATAGGCGACATGGGCATGTGTGCAGGCATGTGCATGGGCACCTGCGTGGGCATGTTTGCGGGCATGTGCATGGGCATGTGTGTGGGCATGGGCATTTGCGAGTGCAAGTGCATGTCATGAAATGTGGCATGGCGTGAGTCAACTGGTGCGTCACGTGGCATGTCATGGGGTTGCGGCAAGCCATGCTGGTTTTGCATGTCATGCGGGTGCGGCATGTGGTGTGGCATGTCATGTGGGTGTGGGAGCGGCAAGCCATGGTGGCCTTGGAAAGGCATGTTGTTGAACTGTGGGAAGCCGAAAGCCAACTCCCGAGGAGAAACGTCACCACTCCCAGGTACCGCAGCCGCAGCATGAGAGTGCATACCCCATCGGGTACCATCAACGCTGTCATTCAAAAAAGCTGCTGTAGAGACTGCAATACCACCACCCATGGCACCGGCACCAGCAGCAGCGGTCGGAACAGCAGCAACCGAAGCAGCGGCCACAGCAGAAGCAGCAGTAGCAGCAGCAGCTGGAGGGCCACGGGCACCGTCACCAGCAGCAGCAACAGCTTCAGCATAAGGAGGACTTGGGTGGGTGGAAACAGCTGCATGAGCGGGCGAGGCAGGGGCGAGCGGAGGAGGAGGGCGCGGGGTAAGCAGTGGGGGAGGGTGCATTGGCTGCTGATTCTGGTATTGTTGCTCATGCTGCTCATTCTGCTCATAGTGCTGCGGCCGCCGCTGCTGCTGCGGCTGCTGCTGCTGATGGTACTGGCGAGCCTGGGGAAGGGCAAGGAGAGGTGTATCCGCCTTGGAACCCAGGGCAGATGTGGCAGGTGACCTGATGGCATGAGGACGTGAAATTGGTGCGTCTGATACTTGAGCTGGTGGTGGTGCTGGTGGGGGTGCTGCAGCAGGAGGTGCAGAAGAAGGGACAGGAGCAGGAGAAGGAGCAAGAGCAGGAGCCGAAACAGGAGCAGGAGCAGAAACAGGAGCAGGAGCAGGAGCAGGCGCAACAGCAGGAGCACGAGCAGGAGCAGAAGAAACAGCGGTGGCTGTGCCAGCAGCAGCAGCAGAGGCTCCTGTTGCCCCTGCAGCAGCACGAGTACGAGCCCTTTCCCTTGCATGCGCCCGTGATTCCACCCTCCTCCCACCTGCCAAGCCACTCACACCAGCAGCACCACTCACACCAGCAGCACCACTCACACCAACAGCACCACTCACACCACCAACGCCTCTCCCACCAAACCCACCACCAGCACTCAAATCTCCTATGTTATACCCACTAACCCCTAGTGGGTGACCTTCAGGCATGTAACCCTCATGCATGTAACCATGTGACATGTAACCCTGTGACATGTAACCACCTGGTGTGTAACCCGTTACACTGTAACCCTCTGCTCCACACCCTCCCCTGCTCACCCCTGCAATGCCCCCAGGAGAGAACCGCTCCGGACGAGACACAGCCAAGGCGCCTGGAACATCAGGAAGACCACCTGGAGCAACAGACGGAGCACCTGAGGGTTCATCTGAAGGAGCACCTGGCGCATTTATACCCCCTCTAGAGCTCAGAAGAGAAAACTCCTCGTCCCAGGGGAAACGGGGAGGGAGCGTGAGAGGGGCAAGGGGGATGGAAGTGGGTGGGAGAGACAGAAGCGGGGCTGGAGAGATACCAGCTGCCTTGGGGAAAGAGGGGACAGGAGGAGGAGGAGGAGGAAGAAGTGACAAATGAGGAGCAGTGGCAACAGGAGCAGGACGAGGAAAGGAAGAAACTGCAGCAGCAACAGCGGCAGAAGCAGCAGCGGCAGCAGTGGTAGAAGCAGCAGACGCAGAAGCAGCAGAAGCAGAAGCAGGAGAAGCAGGAGGAGGAGGAGGCCGAGAAGGAGCCGCAGTAACAGGAACAGCAAGAGGAGCAGCAGGAACGACAGCAGGAGGTGCAGGAGCAGGAGCAGGAGCAGGAGCAAGAGCAGGAGCCGGAGTGGCAGCACCAGCGGGTGCAGGAGGAGAAAGAGAAGCTGCGGATCCAGGAGGGTGGGGAGCGGACTGCGAATGGTGTTGACCCTGCCCTTCTCCAGCCTTCCCCTCAGGTGCCTCGTAGAATGCCCCAAGGGCTGCTTTTGCTTTACCAACTTTTCCTCCCTCCTCCACTCCCCTTCCCCTCCCTCCCTCCTCCCCACCCAAACTAACGCCTCCTCTGCCTCCTCCCCCTCTCCCTTCCATTCCACCCACTCTTCCTGACTCTCCTGGACCTCCTACTCTGTCAGACACTCCTGGTGGCGGTGGTGGTGGTGGTGGTTGTGCTCCTCGGAAAGCCATACCGGCAAGGCCTGGAAGGCTGCTGGGACGGTTACCTGAGTAAACGTTGGGGTAAATCACCCCGGGAAAATAACTCGTTGGTAGATGCCCTGCTGGCAAATACCCATACAAATACCTCCTTGATTCAAATCTCGCTGCTCGTCCTTCTGCCCCTGCTCCTGCTCCTGCTCCTCCTCCCCCAAATGCTCCTGCTGCCCCTGCTGGTAACCCCCCTCGTGCTGACAACCCAAATGCTGCAGAGTCGCCAAAGAAAGGCAGAGGCATGGCATAAGCGCCATAGCCAGCAGGACCAGGAGCACTGGGATACAGAGGAGAGCCATAGCCAGTCAGAGCAGCAGCAGCAGCAGCAGCAGCAGCGGCTGAAGCAGGTGCAGTGGGATAGTGAGGGGTTGCACGATCGTTGAGAGGGACAGCCTCACTTGCAACAGCAGTAGGGTAGCCAGCAGCGGCGGTGGCGGCGGCAGCAGCAGTAGCAGAAGCAGGGTCAGGAGGCGGGAATGTGGAGTAAGGGAGAATGCTGCTGTAACCACCTCTGTAGGTGCTGCTGCTGCTGATGCCAATGCCGCGAGGTGTGGCATGGGAAAGTGGCGGGAGTGGCAACTTTGGAATTACTGCCTTATCCTCGCTATAATGCGCCTCAGAAGCAGCAGAAGCAGGCAGAGTACCAGCTGCAGCAGCAGCAGAACTTATCCTAGTGCCACCAAAACCAATGACATCAACACCTGCACGAATGCCCACAGCGGTCGCTTCTTCCACACCTAGTCCCGCAACTCCTTCCGGACCTCCTGCTGAGCCTGGTCCTCCCGAACGTGCAGGCTGCTTTGGCAGCCGAGCTATGGCATGCTGGGCATGATACAGCAGCCACTCAAGCGCAGCAGAGGGGGTATCCGCGCCGAGCCTATCTTGCACATCATAGAAAGAAGTGGCGGCCGGGGCTGATAAGCGCACCCGCCTATCGCGCATGCCCCGGGCGGTTGGCACCTTGGAGTGGCGGTCCCGAGCTAACGCCGCCGCCGGACCTAGCATTGAGGCTCGGCCTGCTGACGAGGACGTTCGGATGGCAGACGCCGTCGCGCTTTTTGCTCCTGCCCCATCCTCCTCTCCTGCCCCTTCCCCTCCGCCTAGAGAAGCAACAGCAACTTCTCTTTCCGCTCCTTCTCCTGCTCCTCCAGTTCCTTCCCAATGACTTGTACTGGCATACTTTTGCCTCTTGCCATTCCCCCCTTCTTCACTCCCACATCCACCTTCCCCCCGCACACCACTCGCACCTCCTCCTCCTTTCCCCCTTCCCCCTCCCCTTCCGCCTCCGCTGCTTCCCCTTCTTCCCCCTCTCGCCCGTGTGCGCTCCCCATGGTGTAGCTCCCCTTCCCCCTGCGCGCCCCCCTCCTCGTCCCCCCACTCCCCCCACTCCTCCTCCCCCCCCTCACGCTCCAACGACTTTCCAATTCCGGCCCCGTGCCAAGTTGCCAGTCCCTGGGTCTTGTGAAACTCACGTGGCAAACTCCATCGCTCTTCTTTCTGCTCTTGTACCTCCTGTTGCTTCTGCTCCTCGCTCTGCTGTTCCAGATGCTCTTGTTGCCGCTGCTGCCGCTGCTGCTGCTGCTGCTGCTGCTGCTGCAACAGCCGTTGCTGGAGTGCTTCAGCTTCTCGCTCTTGTCTCTTCCTCTCCTCCATCTGACCAGCTAATCCACGACTGCTACTATTCGCACGCAGCGCACCCTCCCTAACAATAGTGGTTTCCCGTGCATTTGTAGCAGTGGTAGAGTCTTTCCTTCCAGGTGCAATCGGCGAAAATCCTGCTGCATCCATCTCAGATTTCCATGACGTGGCGGCGGCGGTTGCTGACGTGCTCATGGATGCAGGTGACGTGGACGACGACGACGACGCGCTGGACGGTTCTGGAGGGACTGACATCGTGACACGTGGCAGTGATAGCTCAACGACTTTGAGGAAATAGGAACCGTGCGATAACAACCTGCCTCGCCACGAACAATCTCCGGTTACTACTAAAACTGACAGATATTCTACTGATCGGTACTTAATCCTGGTTCTTCCCTGGAGTCCAGAGAAATCCTACCTTCGATAAGTGCGGAACTTAAGAAAGCGACCCAGAGGGGAGGACAGTACGGCTGCGGCAACAACACGCTGACACGTAACGGGGGGAGGTGTAACGGAAAGAGGTGTAACGGGACGAGATGTAACCGGATGGAACGTAAACGGAGGGCGCGTGATGCAGAGAGAGGCCAAGGACGGGTTGACCAAGAGACGTGCGCGCGCGACCCACGGTGGAATCAGCGCGGAGCCTGGAGTTGGATCGACGACTGCAGCTGCGATAACGCTGGACCCGCCAGCGCCGGCGACACTGGCAGATAATTCTCGACGACGAATCCCCCCCTGAACTAGCACGAGCTCGTGCGACGGATCAAGCGACGACTGTGCAACGTGCGACGGCTGTCGACGCGCCAGCGAGCCAGCTGACTGAGCAAAAGCTGGAACGCTTCGAGCTTCCGACAGCCCGTCGTTGCCTGTCACCTCGGATGATGTCGGGGCCAATCGCACGATACGGTGGTGTGGAGCTGCAATCACGGGTCGTAACGATGCTTCAAAGTCCGCTGCAGAAGACGACGCCGTCTCGAAAACGTTCACGAAGTTCGCGAAGATGACAGCTGATTCTCCTGAGACGCGAGCCGCCGAAACCACCTTCCAGGAAGCACAGCCGCTTGATTTAATCACTCGGATCGTAGTTATGCTTTGAATTGGGGATAACTGACGCTGCTGATGCTGATGGCGTGGCCGACGCTGCTGCTGACGTCCGATCGATCGAAGCTGCCGACGCCCCTCTGGAGATCCAGGGGAAGCGAGGCGGCCGCGGTTGGTCATTTCCCCGGCCCTGCCTGGGGACCTTAGCAGATTAAAGACGTGATGATATTACTGATTGATTAGATTGAGCAGAGTCGAAACTGCAGGCCTTAAATCGCGTTGAAGCTTCGCGTTTGCTCCCAGGAGGATTCGTGAGAAGACTCGGACGCACCGAGTCCCTCCTGGGACGCGAAATTGACAGGACTCCGGTCACGAACCTCCTCCTAGTACTAGGACAAAAAGCGATTATTTTCCATCGACAAATCTACTCGACTGAAAATGCTGATCAATAGCGTCAGGATGCCGGAAACGGGGATTACGCAGGTAAACTCTGTTACGAAGCTGAGTGGTTTCCGACGAAGGCTTGCTCTTGACTGGGAACTGCCGGAGAGGGTTTAATACGTCAGGCTGTGTGAAGACTGAGTCACCAGCAGGCCCAGCGCCAGAGATATTGGAAGCAGCAAGGCTTGACGAAGCCTGGCTTGCTGTGAAGCTGAGTTGCAATTGCTAGCTGCTGACGTGCGATTATGGAGGAAGAAAGCGAGGGTTCGGAACGGAAGCGACAGGGGAGCGTGAGAAAGCAGGGAGCGTCGAGAGTGGGAAAATGATGAAACTTCAAGGTAAGAAGACAGCTCAGCGCGGAAGGGTACTTGAATTGACAATGGCGGGCTGGAATGCAAACTCGAGGCTGTGAGATTGGAGGGCTTCCAGCTTCGAGATAGGAATTGGAGCATGGGGAATTGGGGCAGGGCTGAAATATGGGTTGTTGGAAGAGACGGGCATAACGAATGAACATTGTGATAAGTTTGGAATGCATCGCGGCTCGAGCGTGCATGGTGGTGGTGGACGTGAATTCGGGAGGTAACCAGCGGAGTTGGCGGAGATATATTGATCCGCTAAATAAACCTGCCCCCAAGCAGGAATTTTTGGGCAGGCGAACTCTGATGAAGCAGGCTGCCGATAGTGTATTTTGTTGTGGTGGTGAATCACGAAGCGAATAGTGTTTTTTGCTGTGGTGATGTAGAACTTCAGATATGTTGGGCAACCGAAGGGACGAGCACGCCACATGCCATGGTCATTGGGGTTTGAAGCATTTGGGAAGGGAGAGATCCAAGTCGCCGCCAGCTGTAGTAGGGAGTCCAAAAGACCTGACGGTCGTCATGGATCGTCGCCAATGTTTGTTTGTCGGTAACAGACGAACAAGCAGGCTTCCGTTGTTTGACGTACTAGTTCAGACGGTAACCATACGTACCTTGCTATATCCGTCGCAACAGCTTGTGTGACCATCGCAGACCGTCAACCGACAGGTTTAGGCAGGGCAATGACATTCTCGAAGGGCTACTGTGATGTGACACGCCAAGCCGCAATTTTGTTGCCCCGCACACGTGTAATCCACCAGGCGCGCAACGACCTGATGGTGACGCGGCAGAAGACGTGGACAGACTTCCAAGGCCTAAGGAACTGCACGTGGTGTAATCACTGTATCTACTCTATCATGCAACCGAGTCCAGCAACGCAAACACAATATTCTCACTTCGCCACATCACAACATTATAGAGAAGCATATGAAAAAAACTTATTAGGGTGCAACTGCTGGTGCCCGCTTTCCAAATCGTTATGAGTTGTATGAAAGAAGAGTGCGCAGAATGCAATATCGCGGAAGTGATTACAACTACTGAGCAAACAACGGGGCCTAGGCATAATATAGCACAGCTAGCTAAGCCGAGGTCGCGGAGTCGCGCGAAGGTTGGGTGTAGGTTTGGGGTTGGAAAACCCGAAGGCGCAAGGAAGACATTCAATAGGCGAGGTCGACGGACCGAGCCTGAATTCCGAAAGTTGGAATTGTACGCGAAAGAGGTGCCTCAGTAAGGAATTAGCGAAAATTCCTTACACTACCCCCCCCCCCCCCCCCCCCTTCAAGATGTTGGGTTGAACGCCCTAGGATCTTTGGTAGAGTTAAAGTCTGAGTAAATGATGTGGTAGCGGAAGCATTTTTTAGTAAAGTCCTTGAACCACCTTGCGCTAGTATGTGAGGGCAAAGTAAATTGATTAAAGCAAAGAGATTAAAGAATATGAATACAGAGAATATGAAGAGACGTAATTATAACCACTTTACTGATGCGGTTCGATACAGTGCGACTTGGGCAACTGCTCAATGTCGAGTCACTTGTGTGTCCTTGCTGTCGCGCTGCATTTGTCAGGTTAAACAAAGTTCGCTGACCTTTTACTTTCGCGTAACCTCCAGCGGTTACATCAACCTCTGAGGGTAGACTCGCTGGTGTTTCGATATGCGCTGCTTCGCTTGTGTCTTGGTGTTTCGACACGACAGAGGCGCTCAGGACTGTTTGTTCCCAACACTCCCCTTCGCTTCTGGAGTGTCGCTGATGGTGACGTGGCTTTGTCCAGTCAGCAGCATGCAGTACTCGAACTTTTGTTTTCCGAGCTTCTTGGTCAAGTAGTCAGCTGCCATCTCGGACGTGGGACAGTAGGATAGTTCGAGTTTCCCCTTCTCGATCTCGTCTTTGACGAAGAAATATCGCAGAGCGATATGCTTCGTTCTGTTCGCGAATTCGCTTTTGTTGGCGATGCGAATCGCAGATTGGTTGTCGCAGAACAGACTGAAGTTGGGTAACTCGGCTAACTTCGCTTCTTCCAGCAGCTCGCGAAGATAGAGTCCTTCCTTGGTGGCTGAGCAGAGTGCGATATATTCTGCTTCAGCTGACGAGAGAGCGATAAGTTCCTGCTTGCTCGATTGCCAGGAGATCGGTCCGATAGGTTCGAGGCGGTAGATGTAGCCAGTGCGAGAGCGCCTATTGTCTGAGTCGCCAGCGTGATCGGCGTCGACGTAGCCGATTAATTTCGTCGGTGTAGTTGTGTTCTTGTAGTATGTCAGACCGATCGTTGAGGTGCTTACGAAGTAGTGGAGAGCGCGGTCGAGCTCCGCCAGGTGTTCTGCTTCAGGTCTTTTGAGGTAGGTGGCGAGTTGGCTTGCGGAGTAGGATAGATCTGGGCGGCAGGTGACGGTTGCGAAGAGAAGGCAGCCCAGCTTTCTCTGGTAGTTGCGTATCCCGGCGGATTTGAGTAGAGAGGATCCTTCATTGTGGTTTCCTGTCGTGTAGCGGTAGGGCGTAGAGATGGTGGTAGGTGTGAGCGCGAAGCGTTTGGCGATGGTGTCGGCGTATTTAGCGGCGTTGAGGTAGATTGCGCCTTCTTCCTCTCGAATGTTCAAGTCGAGGTACTGTGTGACAGTAGAGGAGACCGTGAGTGTGAGGTCCCTCTGTAGCTCCCCTTCGAACCAGGTGGTGATGTCGTCAGTAGAGCCGATGTAGAGTAAGGCGTCTGTGTAGACGATCAGCAGAATGTAGTCGGTGTTTTTGGTAAGTCGGTACATCCCTTGGTCGTGAGGTAGTTGGCGGAATCCGATGTGAGTGAGGCGAGCGTGTAGGTACTGTTGCCATAGCCGCGGGGCTTGCTTGATCCCGTAGAGCGATTTTAGCAGTTGATAGACTTGGTTAGGTTCCCCGTGGGTAACGTGTGGAAGCTCGACGAAGATTTCCGCGTTGACGGGTGCGTAGAGGAACGCGTTGGCGACATCGATTTGCCGTAGCTTCTTCTTCTTCATAGCGGCGATCGCGAGGAGAATTCGGAGTGAGGTATGTCGGCTGACCGGGGCGAATGTCTCGCTGAAGTCCCGTCCGTGCTCTTGATCGAACCCACGCACAACCCAGCGTGCTTTGAATTTCTCAATTGTGCCGTCTACCTTCGTTTTAATGCGGAAGACCCATTTCCCGGTGAGAATGGTCTTGTTCCTTGCT